ATTGTCCTGAACATCCATGCACACAACTGGCTCTTCTCGGGTCGTAGGCAAAGCTCACCGTAGTCCGGCGCAGAGGCTACCGCTCAGATCCCCCAAGCTCACCCCCATTGCAAGCCAAACCCTCAGGGAGCCCATGTGTGCTCCTATTCTCCCGGCCTGTATTGCTTAGACATAGCATCCTGCGGGGGGAGGGGGCGGGTAGTAAAAGCCCAGCCCACCCACTACCTCCTTCCTTCTCTTCATTAGCATCGCCCTGGGTAAATAAAGGCTAAGCTTTAAAAGAACAGCCACAAAGCCCATGGCTCTTGACTGGGGGGGCAGAAACAACACCGGCCCCTTCTGCAAAAAAACCCTTGCCCTTTTGGTGTATTCCAGCTTTTATAGGGTCCCCAAGCCCATGATTCCCGGTGGACCCCTCATCCCAAACAAAGGGAGTCTGCTGGGTTCCCCAGAAGTCTTTGCAGTTCAGTATCCTAGCAACCGTCCAGCTTCCCTTATGTGGTCTGCCAGCCCCAAACAAGGATGCGTCTTGATCTGACTTGCGCTAATGACAGCAGCACACTGATGAGCTGATGGAGCAGCCTGGGGTGTCAGTGGATGGACATAGCCAGGTATGGTGGAAAGCAGAGAGAAGGAAGGAAATGCAGGCTGGGAAGAAATGGGGGACAAAGTGGGATGAGGCTGATATGCTCTGGATGGCAAGAAGGTAGGCTGGTATCATTAGCAAAACAGGATTGCTTAGGAAGACATGGCAAAGGGGGAGCCTTGTAAAGCTAACTGATCCCAGTCACCCTACTACCAAGTCAGAAAGTACTTGGCAATATTTGCGGTTTTTGTTATTTACTTTCCTTTTGAAAAGACAAACTTAAGTCAAGCTCAACTTCTCTTGATAAATGGAACATCATGACGCAATGATCTTGGCAACAGTATGGGAGTAGTTTGCCATTGCCTTCTTCTAGGAGATAGACAGACACACACACACACACACACACACTTCCCAGTGACTTAACTGTTTATAATTCTCACAACTAGCACCATGTGTGTATTTATATATATCTGCAGTTATGATAAAACTTTGTATGTCTTATACAGTTGACTCTGATCTACAGAAGGTTGTGTCATAATAGAAGTGTTACTTTTTAAGGTGCCACCAGGCTCTCTGTTGTTTCAATGAAATGCTATTTTCCACAGAAGGAAGTGAACACTTATACTGATGTGACTGTTGTTTTAATCCAAGTAGTTCATTTGGATGCATAGTCGTTAGCACAGGGGTTGGCATGAGTATGGCTTCTAAATGTTCAAGTAGACTGGTTCAGTATACTTAAAAACTGTAAACATTCTTTCTGAAAATACCTGGAAGCCTAGTTTTATGTTTGGGATGGAAAGGGGTATATGATTTGCTATGAAATGGGATGTAGTCAGTCTACCAGGATGCATTTGAAGCTGGATGCTGTGTGAAACAGGGCAGTAGAAGGGGTCCTGCTGCTTGGAAAACTTTAGGATGAGGTTTGCATGGAACAGAGCAACGTGGATTCAATTCTGAAGGCTCTTGTATTCCAGAGTAATCAATCTATGCTTTGATAAAGTTACTTCTATCTGTGAAGCTGCCCCCCAGCCACTAGGCTCATTAGCTATAAGATAATGAGAAATTAGCCACAGAGAACTGCTTAATGAGGTAATCCTGAACTAATCATTCTGGAGACCAAAAAAAAAAAAAAAGCCTCTAAGTGACAAGGACATGGGTAGGCTGTGGCCATAGTCTCTGCCTTGTGTGTGCATGTGTGTTTATATGGAAATGCTATTATAAGTACTTATAGCATGCTTATCTTTCACGCAAGGAGGAATTGAGTCTAATGCCAGGTACAAAATTAATGCTAAAAACATTCAAGCCTGTGCCTTCCTTCTCAAACAAAACATACATCCTTTGCTGCTTCTCTAGAAACACTGCACACTGTTTTGTTATAGCACAAAGCAAAGCTCTGGGGTCTCCTTGCTTGCAGAGCATCTGGCACATAGGCCCCTGTGCTGCAGCTGCTCCTCATAGTACTACCACCCTGGGTTGCTCCCAGGTTAATAGGATTATTTCAGGAGGAGCTTTTCACCAAGCTGCCAGAATAATACCAGGGGGAAGAAGAAGATTCCCTTCCTCATATACAGATCCTAAGAGCTTTGAGGAAACATTTGCAGAGCATCACAAGGTATGCTCTGGCACTGTTTCCTAAGACACAAATAGCTTGGGGCCATGCCTTTGTGCCTTGCAGAGACGACTTCCATCAGGACTAGCTTGCGCAAGTGACACTTTCACAGCATCAATTTCTTGTCCAACTCCTCCCATATTCCACATGCTCTCACAACCTCTTATAATATCTTTAGTCAGGTCAATCTTTCTCCCATCTCTAAAACCTGATTCAAAGAACCTGAGCTGCATTATGGCAAGCCTTGCATGTAATTTAGGATTGCAACACTGGATGCAGTGCCTCTGTAAAAAGACTGGTTTGCAGAGCTACCCAAATCTTGCTCAGACAGATTCCCAGAAATTGGTATGGAGACAGTCTCCCCTTCTCCTCCTTCCCTTCTGGAGTCATCTATTTTGGACGGAAAGGTCAGCTTCACTGCTCTGTTTGTAACTGCAAAGTTTCCTGGGATGAATATTGTTTATGAAGGAGCCTGTGGGAAAGTGGGAACTTGAACCCTCAATCACTGCAGAGGAGGATTAGTTGGGACTCAATCAATTCCGGGAAAGGAGCCGAGCTGGCTGGCCTGGAACACACAACACAACACAGCCAGTCAGTCAGGCATGCATCCCCCCTCCAGATGCCTCTGGAGAGGACTAAAATATGTTAAAAACTAACAAGTGTTAAGGTGTGAATTGCCTTGTTCCCAGTGAAGAAGGATGGGGACGTGGGCTGTTGTCAGCCAGGAGCAGAATCTTGTTCGCTTAATGTACACATGTGAGATGGTATGGATCAAGAGTTCTTGTACAGCAAGTGTCAATGGTTATACTAGAAACTAGGGCTACCACAACTGGGTTTCAAAAATCCAGGCAACCACTAGATGGGAGCAAAGTAAAACTGTATGTCTTTGCTGCCATCTAACCCTTGACCGCAGTTTTGCAGCCCAGATATTATAGCTAGTATTGGGCCTACCAGCTTGCTGTGAGCTACATTATTCTTCTTCCCTTGGCAACAGTACCCTGTAGAAAAAGGGAACATAGCTACCAGGGTGCAAGAAGAATTAGAAAAGCTGTGCTGCGGGGGAAAAAAAGCCCAAACTGGTGGTTGATTAGAAAGTATACTCAATTGAGTCAAAGACTCAATTCCCCACATTTAGGTTTAGACCAATGTTGGCAGATAATTGGAGGGATGATTCCAAATGTTGATGTTATGGAACAAGAGCGTGATTATTTGTGTCAGTGGACTGTTGTGGCTTTCACTTATATCAACAAGGGACAGTGATTTGTTTTTATTGGACCTGTATCTTGTTAATGTAAAAAGGAAGATAAATTCCACCAAATTTGAATGATGAAACCAAGATTATAAAATTTTGTGTAACCTAACAACCTACATATTTTATTAGGGCTTCCTCTGTGGAATTTTTATGGTAGCAAATGTATTTATTCAATATTCTGTGTTTTGTGCATGCATATTTGGAATTAGGCCCTGCTGGATTCAGTGTGTTTTGTATATAAACATTCATAAGAACAGGACACAAGCCCCTTCTTGAGTTAAGAGGTTCAGCATGAGATCCTGGCATAAATTCTCTATGTGTACTAGATCTTCTGATTCTACAATTCTCAAGCCAATTTTCAGAGGTAGTGTATTTAGGAATAAGAAATGTTAAGGTTGAACTACAGGCCTGAGCTATTGGTTTGGTGTCCTGCTTGTGGGCTCGCATTTAGTGGCATTTAATTGGCCACTGTAAGAACAGGTTGCTGGATTCAGTAGACTGTTGATCTAATCCAGATGACCTTTTTCTGTCCTTCCATTTTTTATTCACTCCTCACATATATTTTCACAGTATAGCTTCCAGAAATTTATGGAAGTTTTTCACTGTATATCTATTACAATTTTCAGATTTCTTTTAAAATTACCTAGGGAAGGTAAAAGTTGTACCTCAAGGGGAGGATATTCCATCAAGTAGGGGTCACAGTTGAAAAGGCCCTGGCCTTAGTTATTTCTAGCCAGACTTCCTTTCCAGGCTGTGCCCATAACAAATCTTAGTGGAAAAATAGAGTTTTCAGTTGATAAAATATCAGGGAAGTCATTCCTTGAATTGAGCAGAATTAAGAATAAAGCAGAATTATCCTTGAATTAAGCAGATCTGACATGACCTTCACCCAGGATTCCTAGATCACCTGGTCTGGACCCATCATTCATTATCCTTAATTATATGATAGGTAGCTGACTATTGGGCAGTTTCCCATTATTACCTTTAGATGCAAATCAAATATGAGATTCGAAGAGATTTCTTCTTTCCAGTAGCTTTGATGTTCCCTTCCCTATAAACATTTGCTGCCACCCAGGACTCTGGGGATTGTGGGGCATGATTCACTGGGCTGCTGATCATGAGGGCATGTAACTTAGACAGCAATTATATGTAGCAGGGATGGCACTGCATAGCCCACCAGATGCTACTGAACTTCCCACGCTAGCCAGCTCCCACGCTAGCCAGCATATGAAGATAATGGGAGTTTCAATCTCCCAAAATCTGGAGAGGGACACATTATCCACCCTGAAAGCTATGGAGAATGAGGATAACTTTCACCCAGCTGTGCCCAACCTGGTGCTCTCCAGGTACTTTGGGCTATATCTCCCAGAATTCCCAGCCATGCATCCAGCAGATACTCTATTAGAGAAGGCTGATTTCATAATTTGGTGAGCTGTTATCTGCAAATTCTTGCCAGGTGATGAGGAGCTTTTGAAACAAAGCAAAGCAAAAACAAAAAAGCACAACCCTGAAAAACGCAGTCAGTTGGTCATTGCTCAACAACCAATCAGAAAATGCCTTGCTTCCCTTAGCAACAAAGAGCACACCAATCAGAAGAAGGTATGCTTTTAGTCCTAGTATTCATTGGCTAAGGGGAGGGGGAGGGGGAGGGAGAGAACGAAAAGCAGAGTGTGGGGAGAAAGATCAGAAGGAGCTTCCCTAGGCTACTGACCTCTTCCTGTGTGTTTGTGTGGGGGCCGTACCACCTTCCATGCTCCTGCCCCCCACACTAACAATTGATGGCATTGCTGCAGAAGGATTCCTGTGTGCCCATTTGGGTGGGTGGGCAGATGTAGAAGGAGGCATTCACTCATGCCTGTCTGGAAGTGGGTTGCACAAGCAATCATCCAGTCTGAGATGAATCATTGATTCAGGATGTTGCCCTTTCAGTTGCCAAACGCTAGAGCAGGGAGGGCTTGTGTGCTTCTTCAGCTTGTATTTTGGTTGATTAGCAAATTCCTTGTGAGCAGGAAATAGTTAACAAAGCCAGGCTTTGTTGCTTGCCTTGCAGCCCATAATCCATCAGACGTGAGAAAGCAGGGCAGGAAATGTGCTGTTGTATGTTCTGGTTTTAAACTGGAGCCACATGGTATCTGTCTTTAAAGTATTGTTCTTGTTCTTTGTGTGGTTAAACAGTAAGCACAATAAACACAAGAGGAGACTGCCCAAGATACTCTGATTGTTCTTAGGTTTAGATTCAGGCAGCCCACAGGCACCAAGATAGGGTTAATGCAAGTAGGCCTTTGACAGATGCTTTTTTTGAACTGCTACACCCCCTTTGATGACTCACTCCCTTACCCCTCCAGTTCATTATGCTAGAGACTGGGGGTTGGAGGTGGGGGGGGGGGAATGTTGTTAAAAGTATCATCTGTTCTTGGCTTAGTTGCTATGGAGACCATACGGTGGCGATTCTCTTTATAGCCACTTTTTTTTTTTCCATTTTGGAAACTTGTCCCATTCCTGTTTAGCGCTCTCTTCTTCCAGAATTGCTCTGAGCCCATTCTGTCATGGAATATGATATAAAACTGTTTCCAGCAGGCTTTGCAAGGTTCTCATAAGGGAGTTTCTAAATAGCCTCAAGAATAGAAATAGCTAGGAGTTAGGTATCTGGCCTGTTTTGCCTCTTTAATGCCTTGCCGACATTGTAGATAGCTGTTTCTGCTTGACTGTAACATTTGCTGGATTTGGCTCAAGTTCAAGGAGTTCCTAACTCTGATGTCATATGTTTAATTCTGATTCTTAGTTGTTTCTTGCAGCCATCCCAAAAGAAGAGAGTTGTTCTAGCTCAGTGCCAGAGCACACATGCATTGCATAAAGAAGGTCCCAGCTTCTAGCAGGACTGGGAAAAACTCCTGCCCAAAGAGAGAATCAGGAGTTAGGTGAGAGTGATGATCTGATGATTGAAGGGGAGCTCCTTAAGTTCCTATGGAATTCTCAGTAGTAGAGCCCTGCCGTGTTCATAGGGACCTGCTGGTTCTTCCTTCAGAGATGTTGTAGCCCGTGAAATTCATATGGTAGGTTGTATTATCGATTGTACCACACTGGACTTCCAAGAAGCTGGGGTTCACCATTCCTTTCTTATCCTTTCTCAACAGATGGAAGCTAAGTCATGAGGCAGCATCTTCTTCTGCAAGTGACTGGGAGGGAGTGGGGAGCTTGACATTGCCACAGAAGCCCTGAAGAGCCATGACGTCAACTGTACAGACTCTGCGTTTCCCACTGCTTCCACATGAACCAGACCAAGACTGGACACATAGCTGCGATCAGGAGATTGAGAGGCACTATCAAGTAGTGCCCTCAGTTGTATGTGCCATGTGCTGCCTCTTTGGGATCATCTATTGCTTCTTTGGTGAGTGTGTTGTGGGGGGAATGGCTTGTAGATTACTCCGGGTCTACAGAGGACAAGTGAAAGTACAGCATGTGGACTCAAGGAGAATGTATTATCTCAGTGCCTTATAAGGTCATTGGAATGGGCCATCCCACTTACAGCCAGCCACAAGTCTCATTAGCTGTGTAGCATGACAAACTAAACTGATCATGAGGGAAGGAGCAAATGTGTTGTGTCAACTCTCTAATCCACACTTAACTAACCCAAGTCTCTTTTTCATTGAAACTTTTCATGTGCATACTCTGTGGCTGCAAGGGATGGAGGGGTAGGAAAGTCCCCACACACCTGTTCATAAAACACAGGAAGTGAGGAAGAAAAGGATGGCCTCCTTTGATACAGCTGGTAGAACTTAACCCCCACCCTCAAAAAAAGACTGTTGGCATGACACATTCAGCCATTTTGAGTTGTGGGCTACTTGCACACCAAAATGAGTGGCTGTGTTCCCAGGTGTGGGAGTCGGAGCCAGTGAAGTAGTTGTATTGACAATTGCTGCTATTTTTATCTTGGCTGCTGATTGTTCATTTATTTAGTGTCTCTTTTGTGCTTTTGCTAGTTTTAATTGTTAGCCACCCAGTGTCACGTGTTTGAGATGCATGGCCATGTAAATGGAATAAAATGAAATATAAAATAAAATAAAATAAAATAGTCTGTTGACTGAAGATGGTGAAGGCATCTGGATCAGCCATGTTGCATGAACACAGCCAATGTATATTTAGCATCAATGTAATGGAACTCAGGTTTCTGAACTGCTCTGGCCAATATCCTCCTGTGGTTACATTCCTAAACATAGCAAGCTCCTGTGCTAAATGTAATAAAGCCCTAGGAGGAAACATTCAGAGTGACAGTTCTTTGCTTCCAGTTACACATTAGCATCAATGTAATGGAACTCAGGTTTCTGAACTGCTCTGGCCAATATCCTCCTGTGGTTACATTCCTAAACATAGCAAGCTCCTGTGCTAAATGTAATAAAGCCCTAGGAGGAAACATTCAGAGTGACAGTTCTTTGCTTCCAGTTACACATTACAGAGGATCTGAAATGTTAAAGTAAAGGATATAAAGTCCTGGTTTTAAAACTCCCCAGTTATCCCCTAGTAATATATTAAAAAAAGGTTGTGTGTGAGAGAAGAGAGAGAGTGTGCACACACTCTCCCTCTCTCTCACATACACACACACACACACACACACACACAGGTCATCCAATGGAATGGGAATTGTCCTGCTTCGCTAGAGCAAACACTTGAGTAGCCTATCCTGTCCCCCTCATCACTCTCCTTTCCTTCTTTCCTCAGGATACCGTTGCTTCAAAGCAGTGATGTTCCTGACTGGCCTGATGTTTGGTTCAGTAATCATCTTCATGTTGTGCTACAAAGAGCGGGTGCTGGACACTCAGCTGAGCGTGGAGGCCTCTGTGGGCATTGGGCTGGGCATTGGCGTGCTCTGTGGGCTGGTCACCATGTTGGTACGCAGCGTCGGGCTCTTCATGGTTGGGCTGCTGCTGGGGCTGCTGCTGGCTGTGGCTGCGCTGATAGTGATGGAGCAGTTCTACCACCCGCCTACTGTCTGGATCCCCATTGGCTTATTGCTGGGGGTGGGCATGCTGTGTGCTGTCCTGACCCTGCAATGGCAGCGCCTCTTCACCACATTGTCGACTGCTGTCTTTGGTAGTGCTGTCATGACTGCCACTGCTGACTACTTTGTTGAGCTCTTTCTGCTGCTGCAGTATGTTTATGAGCGTGTCAAGGTGGCACCTGCCCGGCCCATCTGCTGGTACAGCTGGGTCATCCTGGGTACTTGGCCTGTCCTGGCATTTTTGGGCGTCTTGGTACAGTGGAAAGTCACAGCTGAAGGATACTCACACACTGAAGGTGAGTATGGTACCATGGGGTGGATGGCAAAAAGGCCGAAAGCAAGTAAATTAATATTCAGATTGAATGAGTTTCATGGATGATTTGCTTCCTATTGACTGGTCTTGCAGATCATACTTGGTTAACCATGGTTTATTGAAGCAACAACAATTTATTGAGTTCTCCTCATACACTAAGACCTAAATTTGGAATGGATCACTTTCCCAGTTTCAGGGGCCACATCCTGCTCTGCCAACCACTTGTAGGACCACAGGTGGCATCACAAGAAGGAGTAGAATGGAAGCAAGTAACCCTACTTGAATTCTGAAGGCATGATTCAGGGAGGCCAGTTTCTTTGAGTTCTAAAGTGTGGAAATTACAGCAGCTAATTTAGGTAATAAATCTCAGGTCATTCTGGCATCACACAAATGCTTCCGTGCAATGGGTCAAAGCTTTCTGACATGTGGGGTTCTGCCCACCATCAGATTCCTGTATATCATAAACAGTAGACTGGATTTATTACTGCAGTTGGTGGTAGGGTCTAGGCTTCCTGATAATAGTGGCCAGCACTGCTTTTATTAACAAGGCTATCCTTTGCTCAGGACAAAAAAGAATTGTTTATCAACCTTTCTGCCAAAAGCAAGGAAGAGGTAGCACTGATAGTGCCTAAGCAATGCTTTTTGAGGGTGTGGCCCATTGTGTTTCAGACCCAAAGGCCCTGTTCCAAGGTTGCAAAAGAATAGAACAAGAAGTAGAGGATTCTCTTGTATCCTTCCTTAGAGGGCCACCTCTCCATTTGTGCTCCCTGTGACTCTTCTCATATACAGCAAGTTTTTCTACCAAGCTTTGCAGCTGTGCTCTTCATCACAGTGTAATGAAAGTTGCTGTGAAATTACACAGCAACTTTTCCTTATTCTGGTTTCTGTCTTTTACAGATTTGTCCTTTTCCACATTGCTTTCTGGAGCAATGAATCATTTCAACTTCCTGAGTGTGGAAAGCTTTCCCCTTGGTCAGGTGTGAGCAGAGTTTGAATGGTTAGGAGGACACAACTCGATTTCCTGAGCTTCTGGAGGGCCACGGGAGGATATCTGATGATGAGGTGACAGGGGTACCTATGAGAGGCCATCAAAAAAGTCAAAATAGCACTGTGACTGTGTGATCAGAGCCTCACCCTTTTTACATGCATTTTTACATGCGTTGCAGGTATTCAGTCATTCTGTTGCAGCCACCATCTTGACTTTTCCGTCCCCCTTCCATGCTGAGATCACCAGAAGGGGTGTAAGTGACTCTTTTCAGTCCGATAAAGGGTGGGAATAGTAGTGGGAGGCCTCAGGGAAGCAAACTGCTCCCATCCCCATCCTAAAGCCTTCCCAACTCTAAATAGATGCCCACCAGATCACCGTTTTGGAAATGATTTGGGGCCATCTTTCAGGGATGGGGAGGCAGAAAGATGGGGTGAGCTTGCTTTGCTTTTCAGAGGTCTTCTGTCCCGTTCCCACCCGTAACCCTGCAAATACCAACAATATCCAAAACTGCAGATGCCAGCAGTGTCCAAAATTAAGCCTCTAACTCCAATTTCCAGCTTTACTTTTACAACAACAACAAATCATGTCATACTGCTATCAAATATTGATAGCATGACTTAAGGCTACTAGTGAATTGCAAATGGGGGGCGGGGGGATGAATGCCTCGTGATTCACAGGCTGCCCACACCTGTTGGCCCATAAAAATATAATAAGAGTTTGTTGCATTGCTTTACTATCAACACTTGAACTATTCTTTCTTTAAAAATAAAAGCAATCCTGGCCAGCAGTCATATTATGGAGGTTGTAATCCAGATCATCTAGAGCACACCAAATTGTCTGCTGTAGATAAAATGAAATTAACCAATGAATGATTTTATATATTGCAAAATCAGAATTAAATTAAACCTGCCCAAATGAAAAAAAATATTTTGAGAAGGTGTGAGAACTTATAATTCTATAAGCAGAAGGGAAAATAAAATACTATTTTGTTACATGAACTATGCCAGAAACTAGATGGGGGAATGTGATCCTGCTAGTTCTCTTGGACCTCTTAGCTTTTGATACTATAAATTATGGTATTCTTCCAGACCATCTGGAACAGTTGGGGACTGTTTTGCAGTTCCAATTTTTTCTGTGGGGATGTACCCGGAAGATGGTGCTGAGGGACTTCCGTTTGGCATTTAGGTTACAGTATTGACCTATGGTATTCCTCAAGGTAGACTCTAAGACTGAGGTGAAGCTTGTTCTTGATAGTATTGCATTTCTCCAGAAAGAACAGGTTTACAGTTAGGTGGCTCCTTGTCCCTCATCTGCCCCTGGATATGACTGTGGTGAAGGTGTGTTTGCATATTTATGACTAGTGCACCAACTATGGCCCTTCCTGAGTTAGTCAGACTTAATTATCCATAGCTTGGTTACAGCCCAATTATTTTGAGGAATTATTTTAATTTTGGTTTTGATTTTAATGCCATTGATTGTATTATGTTTTACACTGTTAAGTTTTATTGTTGCCAGCTACCTTGAGTGTTGGAATAAACAGAAAGGCAGAGATATAAATTCAATATAAATAATCAAAATAAGATTGGAATGATGGCATGTTCCCTGCGATGGTAACACATCTGTACCAATATAGTTTGAAAAATAAATTCATGACCATTAGATTTACGTAAAGTCTAACTTTAAGAGCATATTGCCATGAATTTGGGCTATGCAACGCGTTTTATGTGGGGCTACCATTGAAAAGTGTCCATAAATTGCAATATATGGTAAATACAACAGCAAGGCTGCTGACTAGTGCAAGGTACAAGGGTCGTATATGCTTGTACTGAAAGATCTGCGCTTCACTTTATGTGGGGCTATCAGTTACTGATGGGTACAAGTTAAAATGTTGGTGTAGGCTTAGGGCTTGAATATCTGTGAGACTGCCTCTCCCAGTATGAACTTGCCCAGTTCCTTAGATCTCCTGAGGCTCTCCTGAAGATGCTCCTACGGCCTGGAGCTGTACTATCAAGTGTCCAGAAAAGGGCCTTTTCTTGTGTGGCTCCTGGGCTAAAGAATGTGTTCCCCAAAAAGCTGTATTTCACTCCCACTCTCTCAGTATTTAGGGAGACAGTAAAAACACATCTTTCACCAAGTTTTTAATTATTAATTATTTTGAGGAATTATTTTAATTTTGGTTTTGATTTTAATGCCATTGATTGTATTATGTTTTACACTGTTAAGTTTTATTGTTGCCAGCTACCTCGAGTGTTGGAATAAACAGAAAGGCAGAGATGTAAATTCAGTATAAATAATCAAAATAAGATTGGAATGATGGCATGTTCCCTGCGATGGTAACACATCTGTACCAATATAGTTTGAAAAATAAATTCATGACCATTAGATTTACGTAAAGTCTAACTTTAAGAGCATATTGCCATGAATTTCAACTGAATGCTCTCAGTGTCGGTTGCCTTGGGTTGTTATTGTTAGAAGAAAGTCACACTGATTTCATCCTGAAAGGCAACATGTGTGCTTTCTATTAGCATCAGATGGAACAAATGCCATTTCTACATTCCATTTCTCTGAAATATGCATGAGTCCTCCTCACATAAGTACCCAACAATTAATTTGGAACAAACTTTAATATATGAGTAAAGCTTAGCTGATTAATTATAGTAATTAATCAATTACTATTTTAAAACCTTTATTCAGACTTTATTCAGGCCATATATTTGCCTTTGAGAACTAAACTACATTATTACATGCAAGTAGCTATAATTGCAACTTGTCATCCTTTTTTTTAAACCCACTTTAGGAGAATGCAGCTGATTGTGGTGACAGCAGAGTATGCCCAACTCTTTTTCTATCCATTTCCTCATTGCAAATCCCTAACACCTTTTCTCCCTGAACTTTAAATGCGCACAAACAGTGCTTATTTATTTAAGGTTCCCCATATGTTCCCAGCAGAGCTTAAGACTGGGTAGAGATTATGGTGTGAACGTAGAAGACCTGCCCACGGTGAGCCTCTGCTAGTGGGGCTGTCTCCTGATTTAGTGACTGATCCTGGGGAAGGGAGCCACCAAGCCAAGTGCCTGGTCCCCAACCTATGGGAGCAAAAATGCTCCTTCTGCGGTCGTGCCAACTAATACAGTGGTACCTCAGTTCACGAACTTAATTCGTTCCACAATTCTGGTCGCCAACCTAATTGGTCGCCAACCGAATCAAATTTCCCCATAAGGTTCAATGTAAATAAGGTTAATCTGTTCTGAACCATATGTGTTTTTTTTTAACCACAAAAATATGAAACAAAGTACAGTGCAGTATGAAGAGAGAGAACACTAACTTTGCTTGAGGCGACACTAAAAAC